CGCCTCCCAAGCATCGAAGGCTCTCCCCAGTAGACCTCCTTCCACATCCACCTTGCGCAAGCACGACAGGTGGATTGTTTCGATTCGGTCTTGATGCCCCCCCATGCGTAGAACAAGCCGCAGGCCGCAGATTCCCTTCTGTCATTCTCTAAACACCCCGCAAACTCTAACCATAAACATACTTGAAACCAATCCTACCGAAATCATCCCTGCGCTGTAAAACCTAATTTGCCTGTGGTAGGGTCCCAAGCAAGAGCTGCAGGAAGAGCAAGAGCCGGAGCAAGAGCAAAAGGAGGAGCAAGAGCAGGAGCAGGCAAGGGCAAGAGCAGGAGTAAGAGCAAGCAGGAGCAGGAGCAAAAGCCAGCATATAGGAGCAAAATCCCTCAAAAGTGACAGCAGAGAAAGAAGGTACCCACAATAACACAAACGCTTTCGGGATTCTTATTGCGGGTGGGCCTCCTCCCGTTTAACATTAGGGGGAAGGGATGACATGTGTCCTGCGTGAGTTCAACAACTGCCTTCCGGTGGTGGTGGTCGTCCCCGCCTCGACTCCTCCTCTGGGGCCCGTGACCACAAGCAGCCTCACACCTGAAGAAAGCAAGAGGACAGGAGAATTGCTTCCGCTTTTGTCCTGCATACCAGGCAACCTCAAAGCTGCACAGGTTGCTGATATCTCGACTTCAACGCCCTGTTGCAGACTGAGATAAAGAAGTTCTGTCATTTTAGCAGCAGCCAGTGTTGATTGACAAGGTGACAGCGCCCTACACGCTGTAGGACCCAAAAGCAATGGAGAAGCTGGGACACCCATTTCGGTGAGCACTCGAAGGAGGGATTCCGAACACAGCCTCAGTTGGAGCTCTCTATGCCGGTAGTTCCGTGACTCGCCCTTTCCAGTCCGACGAGCTTAGTCGGCAGCTCTGGAAGACAAGCTTGTCCGGGTCAGTGAAGTGCTCACTCTCCGGTGCGGTTCTACATCCGATGCCATGGCGAGGGGCGTCAGAGGCAAGGAGAAAGCAGAGTGGAGCACCGTCAAGAGCACCTGCTGGACAAAGGCAAACGCTCTTTCTGCCTTGCTGAGGTCTGGAGCCAGTCAGCTTTAATCAATCTTGCAACGATTCAACACGCAACATGCAACGCATCCACTCTTGCCACTACCCGAGGCACCCCGGCAACGTCCGCTGCATCAGTTGTCTGAACTCCTGCGCTGCTGCTAGACTCAAGGTTCTTCAATTGCTTGGGCGTGCGTTTAACAGGCGAAATACAATCTGTACGATTGCGTGGCTGAGTGGCGGAGTGCCGATTTTGATCTGTGACTCCCCACGAGCCGCTCACCCCCGCCCTCATTTTCGGCATCCATTAGTCATGTGAGGCTGTAGCTGCAACCGCATCGGACAACACAGGATTCGCCCAGTCCAGCGTGAGGCACGCTCGGCAGGCCACGGCAAAGCTCTCCCAGGGAAGCGAGAAGGGGCCCAAGGATCCTGATCCGGACGGCAAGAACCCCTGCAAGAACTGTGGATGCGCTGCATGGGCTCCTGTCAGGCAGGCGTCTAGGGTCCGTCTCAGGCACGAAGGCAGAGCCGACCTTGGACATGACACCGGGTTGGCTTTGCGGGCTTGTCATGGTGTGCACCTGTCACCTAAACGGGGCTTGCATATCTTGTACAAGAGTTCTGCAAACCCACCGAAAAATTCACTGCTGGCAATCGCGAGACCCGCTGTCACAACTGCTTCCATACTGTCCAATGCTACAACAGCATAGGTCACCAACTTCCAGCGGCAGATCTTGAGAAACTCATCTTGGGAAACATCTCAAGGAAATCAGATCATGTTCGAGGAACAGCGTTGGATGAAGAGCAACTTCAAGGGCAAACGTGCCCGCACAAACCTGTCAAATGTAACTACAAGCTGATTGTAACAGGCCAGCAAGACCACAGCAGACTCCGAGACTCCGAGGCGAGGGCAAGAGGCAGTGCTGCGGCAACGAGGGCTGCGCAGGCCTCCAGCGCCTGAGAGCTCTCCACCAGGACCACACTCCCCAAAGATAGCGGATCCCTACAGCCAGGCAGCGGGGAGCCCGAACTCCAGCTTGGCAACACGTAGAACCTCCCAGAAACGTGTCAGAACATGGCACAGACATGCAGAGATCTGCACAGACGTCTCTCTCTCCTCGCCCTGAAAGATCGGGCTCAGCGTGGTAAGCGCCGAGTGAACTCCTGGCACTCTACTGCAGCGGTTTTGCTTGAACACCCGCGTGCATCACACGCACTGCCTTAAGATCAGACGGAGTCCTCTTCCAGGCGCATCAATGCCAATCATCGGCAGCCACTCCTGTCGGGGTGGTCGGAAGGGGCTTGCCCACTCTCACGCAATTCAGCAATAGATGTTGCCTCGTATAGGCTTTGCGCCCGCAGCCATGCTGCTGCAGCGGACAGCGTGGCCTCATTCGCCGAGCGCCGGACTGCCTCCGAACACCAGGCCCATGTAGGCATCGTGAATGCAACCGGACCACCGGCCCAAGTCCGACAAGCAACGGACCATGCCTCAACGAGTGCCGCTAAAATCACTGGCTGTCGATCGCGGAGAGCCAGCAGAAAGCGGCTTCTGTCGAGACAGGAGAGGGAACTTTATAGACTTCACTGTAACCTGGGCATGTGTGTAAGTGCAGGATGCAGTGTTCCAGCACTTGACAGACTACCTACCTCACTGACAGACTACCTACCTCACGCAACCAATGCTGCCTCTCTGCAACACAGCATGCGACTGCCTCCGCGACCCATCCACCAGAAGACGTCGGCTGAAGGGCTCTTCTGCAAGCGCCTAAGAAAAGAGCTTCTTTTTTAATGCCCTCTTTTCCTTTAGTAGATAGCGTCCGGAAAACCAGGTTGGTTGAGGGAGGGGAACACCTTCTAGGTACCCGAGACCTAGGACCTAGGCAGGATGACCACCATCACCACCCAGAACCCCCCTACCTTGCGGTGTTCCCAGGGCCTTCAAAGACCTTCAACACTCACAGGCAGTCTCAGCTTTGCATCATACAATAACACAGAAAAAAGCTTCTGATGCTCAGGGTTTCATCGCCGCGACCTTTAAGAGTGGACTCTGTGAGATGTGGTGCCACGAGGAAGGTGTTAAGGCTTATGCAGCTGTCTGGTTCACTAGCCAACCCGCGTACACTCGTGCCGCGCAACTGCCAGCTGACAAATCTTGAGCCTGCAGGAACTCCAGCAAGGGAAGCAAGTCCTGAGCTAGAATGTTGAATTCCCTTGGAGACTGCTGCAAATGAACTGTGCAAAATGGCGCTCTTTCACAGCATAGCTGTCAGGAGATGCCACATAGGACCTGTGCTGAGTAACTGCAAATGACAGCCAAATGCAACGCAAATCACCCGGCATCTTTGCCTGAACCCTCAATGTTGGTGCAACCCAGTTTATAGCATTTCGCATGAGTTGCCTTCAGTGATTGGCCGAAGGGCGCCCTTGTCACCAAGCTGGGTCATGGCAGCGGGAAGAGCGTTAGGCCAAGTGTCGCCTCAATCGATCACAGGAGATCTGGGCAAAAATGATGCTTTTCTTTCGTAGGCTTTGGAGCTGCCTTCATGTGAGATCCCAGGTACTAGCAAGAGTGGCTGTGAGGCTGAGGTCCTGACACATTGCCACGAAGCTTCTGGACAAAGCCACGCATAGCCTCAACAGAGAGCAGAGGAGCAGCTGCGAGAGCCCCGTTTGAAGCATTCAAGGGTTCTCGGCCGACCCCGAAACCAAGACTCCCATTACTTCGATCTGCACCCGCCAGTGCATCAGGATGGTTTCTACGAGCCGACTAGCACGACACCATGGGGTTCTCCACTGTATTCTGCTTCGTATCACAGATGAAAGGGCCTCTTCTTGCTCGCAAGCCCAGGCACTGTCGCAAAGCCGGCTTCCCACAACTCCCAGAACTCAGAACCTCCGCGCGGGGAGCACGTCTTCCCACGCGCGAACGCTTCCGGACTAGGACTGAGAGCCCTCCAAGATCCCGAGAAACAATCCTGCCTCTTTGACAACACGGGAGGCCAAGCACATCCTAAGCAGCTTTCTGCAACAGCCGTTGATAGATTGGTGCGGCCACATTCAGCTGATCTTAAGCGGGCTCGAATGCGGCACCCCGAGAAATCAAGCAACTTCACAAAGTCTATGTCTAAGTGGTTCCAAATCCGCGAATTCAAGCCATCAATTCGATCTTCTCGAAACCCGCAGCCGTCGCCTCTAGAAGTTCTGGAGCGACCTCGCAGTCGGATGTCTATATAGCAGCATCATGGGCTGCAGCCTCTCTATAGAGTTGCGGCGCGGAACTGCGATACCTACTTGCGCGACCCGGAACAGCAATCGCAGCGATGCTCTGCCTCTTCCAGATGCTGTTGAAATCTTCGACACGAATGAAAGGATCGAGACGGCCGGCTGACATTCAATGGGAATCTGTACTTCGACCGCATCGAGTCTTGAAGGTCCGACCCTCCTTGCCGCCGCGGAAACTTTCCCTAAGCGCTTCTCCCTCATCACGAAACTCTGCAAGACGAAAAAACACATGCATGAAAACGTAGCAAAGAAACACACAGCATAAACACACACATATATATATATATACACACACACTTTGTAAATATGTGTATACGTATGTACCTAGGTATGTATGAGTATGTGTAGTATGTACATGTGTGCATGTGTGTTTGTATATCTGTATATCTGTATGTCTGTGTGTATGTTTGTTCGTATGTATGTATGTAGGCATGTACGTATGTGCATATTTAGATGAACACAAATGTATGTATACACACGCATACATACATATATCTATATGTATATGTACACATGCACATGTCTGTGTATATATATATATATATATATATATATATATATATATTCATGTATTTATTTCTACACACATACATATATATATATATGCGCTTGTATAGCATGTGTGTTTACATACAATTTTTTGTATGTATATATTTGTATATATGATGCAGGGTTGCCACCCCCCCCCTCCCCCCCCCCACCCCATGGTATCCTCCCCCCCCCCCCCCCTGTGGTGTGGGGCCTGTGGTGGTACTTGTTTTGCCGCGACGTTCTTATGTGTTACTCCTTGTCTTCCCTCTTGCTGTGGCACCGGTGATACTGCTCATGATATTGTGCTGCTCTAGACCGGGACATGAGTCGACAATCAGTCCATGCTCAACATCATCCTTGTCGTCGTCATCATCTTTAATACCTTCAAAAGAATATCTGCCACCATCACCATCGCCATACAACCCTCATATAATTCAGCATTGCAATTCATGTCAGATGCTAGAAACTACTGAGCCGATTGCCGCTTTCCGCAGACGGCAGGGCATAGCGCCACACTCCAGATCCGCGCACAAGGGTCAAGGGGCGGGCAAGGTGCGGACCGGGGGCGGGCCGGGGCGCAGGGCGGGTGGGCGTGCAGCAGGAGGGGAGGAGGGGGTGGGGGGGGATACCATGGGGGTGGCGGCCCGGGACCCGAGAGCATATATGTATATTCCCTTCCCCTTCCCCCTGATCTTTACCCCCCCCCCCCCCACCCCCCAATAAAAACACAACTCCTGCCCCCGGAATTTCGCGGTTTCGGGCCCACAATTGAAAGTTAAGTAAAATCAAAAGGGGGGCCTAGGATTGTATTAGTTCGAATAGAGGCAAGACCACAGCAGTACTAATGAAACCGAAAGGACAGAGCTTTAGGGTTTAGGGGTTTAGGGCTGCAGGTTTAAGAGCATCTCAGCAAAACAGTTTGACAGATTTCCAAGGATGAAAGAATGGGCTTTTGCGGCAGTCCCTGTGCGTACGTGCGCGCACACACACACACACTCACACTGACACATGTGTATACATATATATATATATACATATATATATATATATATATACATATATATATACACATATATATGTAATAGGCATAGTTGTAGGCAAAACTACTAAGTATAGGTACAGGCACAGGTACAGATATAGATAAAGACGCACACACACACACACACACACTCACTCTCTCTCTCACTCTCACCCTAAACCCTCTCTCTATCTTATTCTTTGCCCGTAGTCTTGCCTGTGGCCAGATCTCCGAGTCCTCTTCGGCACAGAGCCGGGCCCTGGCCGCGAGGCTCTGCGCAGCGAAAAACCTGGGGAGGCTCCAGCTGTAGGCTTTAGGGAGGCGGAGGCGTGGAATCGTGGAATTGCTTTTTTTGCCAATTCCTTCTTTTTACTTTGAGATTTTGGGGTCGTCGGATGTTGTCGGTTTAATTGTTGCATTGGGGAAATAGACAAACCAACACACTGGGCTTCAGGGTTTGTGCGTAAGTGGGTCCTGGTATGGAGTCTAGAGGACATGATCATGGAAAGTCATTGGACAGACTGCTATCTCTCCTGGTCCCTAGAGTGATCCATAGAGTGAGCTTTGTGTTGTTTCATAATAATTTGGACATCATCCCCATGCAGCAACAGAAAGACGCATCCCGAGCTAATGTTGGCGTTGGTGGTGGCAGGGGACTTTGCCCTTGCAGCATGGCTCGAAGGTTCTAAGGCATGAACCGCAACTTAGTCACAGGAATAACACTAAACTACTATAAAACATAATTAAGCTGCAGACCGCCATGGCGAGCGGAAGATGCTCTAAATGGCATCAAGTCTGTCACAATCACGGAAACTGCACAGTCTCTGGACAGGGACACTGACAGAAATACTGACCGGCACAGCGACAGGGACCCCAACTGAACGACCGGAACACCACCGGCATAAACATACATTTACCCGTCATTTACCCGTAATACTTGCTACCTGTATGTATATATGTATATATGTACAGATGTACATGGTGGTTATCAATGGTGGTTGCTTGATATTCCGGTTCTCGGGAAACGGCCAGATGTGCGAACTTTCGCGCAGAAGTGTTTTACTTTCGCTGCTACTTTAGTGGAACCTTCGCGGAGCCTGTTTGCGGGTATGTATGTGTGTGTGTGTGTATTAGAAGTAATGTATATGACATATTATATATACATGTATTATGCATACATAGATACATAGATACATAGATACATACATACATACATATATACATACATACATACATACATATACGAACATGCATACATGCATGCATACATGCGTACATGGTGTTAAGCTTCACGTGCAGGAGCGCCCTGCGCCAACCCACCAGCCAGGCTTGAATTCACGCCCTACGTCCATCGCCATGGCCTCTGAACAGCCTTCTGCATCCATTCCGAACCTGCTTTCGGATAGCCTTCTGTCGTTATCTGACCTCCTTCTGACTGAGCTCATGCAATGCTGTTGTGAGAACCTGCAGCGGCCTATACCGCCTTCAAGACACACTTGAGCTTTCCCGGAGTCTTTCGCGCAATCCACTGCACAAATCCCAAACCCTGAGCTCAAACTTGCAAACCATGGCCCATGGACTTTCTACAACGACAACCCCTTACGCTCCATTGACGTCACCTTGGACCTTGTCAGCTCCCCACAGCCTTACTAATATGAACTCCAGGCCCATGTACCTTCTGAGAAAGCGAGCCTCTGACTTGAACGGGTAAAAGCAAGTACAGAGTGAGGGCTCGTTTGAAGTTACACGCTCGCAGGGCAGGGCATGTTTGAATCGTGTAATGTGTGATGGCGTGTTGATCCAACTTTGCTCAAAAGTGTTTTCCTTTTGCGCTTGCTTTAGCGGATCTTTTGCGGTGACATGGACCTTTAGAACAACCCTCACATGCTGTTTGTATGTACGTACGCATGCATGTGTGTTTGTCTGTCTCTGTCTGCTTCTTTGCCTGCCTGTCTGTCGGTCTGCCTGTCCATCCGTTCGTGAGTCCGTCGGTCTGTCTGTCTGTATGCCGGTCTCTATGAACACGACACAACTAACTACTTTCCAAAGCACTGACAGGGAGTGACCGGGACACCACCGGAACACGAGCGGGACACCGACACGACCAGGAGACGAATGAGACTCGACAACGGCCAAAACTTCGACCAGGACACCTCTTAAACAGAGCCCAGACTGAATTGACATGAACAGGACGGGGACACCGACCGCGACACGGCGGTGACACGAATGAGAGTCAACGAAGGCAGGGACCAAAGATCGACAACACCGGTCATAACATCGACTAAGCACCTACTGGGACGCCGACGGGGACACCGACGGGGCCAGAACCGACTTTCAAAAACTGGTTTGACAATGTTTGTCCCTGCAGCCGAGAACGTCATTTGCGGAGTTTGCGAAAGGAAATCCCATCCTCCTGCTCCTCATGATCATCATCCCCGTCATCATCGTCATCATCATCATCAGCGTCATCATCAGCATCATCGGCATCATCATCTTCTTCTTCTTCATACCCATCACCATCCTCATTCTCATCATCATCATCATCACCATCATACCCTTCGTCAGCACCGGCATCAGCATCATCAGCCCTCCTCCTCCTCCTCCTCCTCATCATCATCATCATCATGGTCATCATCATTTTCTCTGCCCAAGCCGCGATGCGAAGGCTTCCCCAGATCCCTGGGCTGCTCGGAGCAGCGCCACACTGAGGGTCAAGGCATGGCCTGCCGAGATCTCTCAAGCAAGGCCTTTGAGGGCTTCTGCTCAGAGAAGAAATCAACGGACTCTGCCGCGGCCCGTCTTTCTGCAGAAGGAGCCGTGGAGCGAAGTGGGGGGGGGGGGGCTAGCGGGCGGGAGCGGCTGGTGATCGCTCTGCTCATCTACAAAGCGGCCCGAAAGAAGCCTTCGCAAAGGTTTTCGCGATCCGAGCTGCAAACCCCAACCTCCAACCACTCTATCTCACTCATGCCAGGTCTCAGCGTCCCTTGCCTCGCTAAAGAACGGCACGAGGATCCGAAGGCATCCATTGCAAAAGCGAAATCCCCGGCTGGCTGGCAAGTGGACCGAATTGTCAAGAACCAACTCGTTTCCAATGAAGGTCTAGTTGCGACTTCGCTGGAATTGGGACAGCCGCGCCGAGGCGTCTTTGACCTGCACCACGCAGTCTTTGTCATACAGGACAAGGAGGCGAGGCCAGCCTTTGTACTTCGAAGCTAGTAACTACAACTACCTGTCAGTTGCTGCAGAGAGGCTTGAGCAGTTAAGTCGTGGTCATGCATCAACGCCCCACAATGAAACTGCATAGGACTGCCATAGATCAACCGTTCCCAAGCTTTCTGGGGCGCCCTCCCCCGACCGCCAGCCTCTTGAGGGCTGCCACGCTGCAGCAGCGACACCTCCGGGGGCCGCAGAAAAGTGTTCGAGCTGCTGGAGCTTCTCGTGCAAGCATGCTTCGGGATGCGGTAGCGAGCTGTGAGTTCGACAGACAAACATCATCTACACGAGCGCCCTCCTGAAGCCGAAGACCGAAGGTAGGCGAAGCCTCTTGTGCACCTATAATATTACTCAGCCTCAAGAGCTCCACTGCACGTAAGATACCGGATACTGCCGCATGGTTTAAGCGGCGACCTGGCGCCCCAGCTCTTCCAGGGGGGACGCCATGGCCACTCTGCGTACTTCTGCGACGACATAGCTAGAGGCAAACCGCAAAGTAAGGATCTTCTCGTGTTCTGGGAACTGGCACTGGGCTTTATGAAGGAGAGGTTGGTATGTGTATATATATATATATATATGTATATATATATATGTTTATGTACATATATATATATATATATATATATAGATATTATACTGTGTTTGAATGACTCCTCGAGCTCTTTCGGCCTAGCAGGCTTGCCGAGTCAGTTATCAAATCAGATTCAACACCGTTCTGCTTCTCTGGCCGCCCAGTCCTTTGCTCACCCTTGGAAACACTTTCAAGAGCGCAAAATAAATGTGGCGACACCTTCGCCTGCACAACACAGCCTCTGCATGCAAACATGCCGACACAGCCACCAGTTCTGCGAGGCGGAGAGCATAATTACAATCGATGTTTAGCGCATTGCGATACTCGTCCAAGCTCAAAGGCAGACGCTCAACACCGAATTGGCAAGATATCATAGGAGCCAACATGTTGTATGCAACGTAGCCATGACAATCACCGTTTGCACTGCAGCTGCGATATGGTACAACCATGATAACTAATTGCTTGTCGCCCTTGCGGGCAAGCCTCATCTGCGTCCACGAGATTTTGAGCTAACCTGGGCGAAATGACCCACAAAAGCCGGTGGGTGCAAGGGCCCGCACAAGAGTGAATGTTCGGCTAAAGTGCTCTCTCGCTTTGGTGGGCGTTGAATCTGGGTCATCCAGCGACTCCGAGTATGTTGGTCGAGCCCACCAATTAAGTTCCAAGTCAGTAACGAAGCAGTGCACGTGCTCTTACTGTATCATGTGAATGCATGGTACCCACTCCGATTCTGAACAGCACATACGCAAATCACACCAGCAAAATATCAGCCCTGCCAAATAGGAAAACCCGCAAAGCATGGATTGCGCCCTTGTGTGCAATGCTTCAGCTTCTCTTGACAGAAAGGCGATCGTGACAACTGCAATTTCCGTGCAGCGCTCCTTTTGTGTCCGTTCCTACGTCCGGAAGGATTGAAGCGCGACTCCGACCATCCAGGCTCAGGTTGAGGCAACGCCCAGCATCGACAAACCTAGGATCGCTTCTTGTAGGAGGCTAGTCTTCCTCGTCCGAGTCATCGCTGTCGGATCCGATATCGTCTTCCTGCTCAGTCTCCTTGGCGAAGACCATGGCTCCCTTTTTCGATCTTTTCATGCTTTCACATCCTCGGACTGGCTTTATGCAACCTCTTCCTCACACAAGAAGACTGACACGACATGTTGTTTCCATGTAGAAACCTATCAATGACCACGTCATGACGAGCATCTTTTGCTGTGGAAGCATACCTGCGTTACTCGTTTGTTGCCCTCGGGGAAGTAGGTGAAGGCAGCGCAGGCATCTCCGGCCTTCTGACATAACTCGGCACAAAGTTCCATGGTCTGCGCGATGACCAGCTCTTTTTTCTTGCAAACTCGGTTCGGATGAAAATGCAATGCGCGGAGGCCCGGGTGGAACATAGCACTGACCATCCTGTCCTGCTTCTTGTCCATAATGTGTGCGTTGAAGTGAAGGTAGTTGTCGAGCACAAACTGACTGTTGTCAAAGGAAATCTTCGAAGCGAAGACCTCTGCACCTGCAAGCTGGTGAGCGACGAAGAGGAGCATGTTTTTGTCTGCCACCGGCTTGCCGTTCAGGCATGCATCCAGGAAAACAGTGGAACGTGTTCTTTCTGTACCGTCAACGATGAGGTGAGGGTAGAGAGCATCGAGCAACTCCCGCGTCACGGGTTCGTCTACCCGCAGCTCAGGCATTACCGTGTCACTCTCAGTGTTCGCGCTCCCCCAACTTAGATTTCTCGATTTGCAAAACAGAGATCGAAACACAACACCATCCCAACCGCAAACAAACTGCTGCAGGCTTTCTTCGACTTCAAAGATTCAGCAAAACATCAAGCCACGCCAATGAGCGTGGATCACCATGCCCACCGAGGACGACATGCTTTAGCCTTGCAGGGGTCTGGTACGGTCGGGGCAAAACCCACGACGTGAAAGATGCAACTTTGTAACAAGTAGCTTCGCAATCGCTGCTTGGAGCTTTCTCCGCAAGTCTTGCTGAGGATTAGGACGGATGATAAGAGCATGGACATGAAAACTGGGCAGCAGATCTGGAGTGGGTGTTGATATGACCCACCACACCTCTACTCTCACCCTCCATTCACACCACGAGCCTCACATTGCTGGGCATCCCTTTTACGAAGGAAATCGCCTCCTGCACCGATGCCACGCGCACAAAATGCACGGAGTAGTGATGAGCCATGTGGACGAGGCGGTAGCACACGCTTGGGTCGATTGTACCCGAGGAGCATAATGAGAAGGCGTTGTTGTGATCCTCCTCTTGGGCAACATAATGATTTTGGTGACTCCCTAGCACCTTGGCGAAAAAAAAAATCTTGGATGTCTCTATGCCTTGAACGATCGGATGTCACGACAAATCAGGCTGTGTGGAGTCCTTGGGATATATATACAACACGTCGGCAGCGCCATCTGGATTTAGGTACTCCAGCTCGTTCTGGTCTTGACACCGACCCTGCATGCTGAAAGTGCTCTTCATCTTTTTGTCGAGGAAACCTTGGCGGTTGCGTTACTGCACGGCTTCTCTTCGCACTGTCTCGGGCGTGCAGAGGAGCCGGCACCACGCAAGAACCAACACCAAAAACATCCAAACGAACACACATACAAATCACACCGAGAAGCTGTCACATTTGGAGCCCTGCGCGGAAAGCTCGAATTGAATCGTGTCAAAGGCCTCCGCACGTTGAACCTGCCTGGGATATGCGACGCAAAGCGTCCTCTGTTGAAGCAACGACATCGCCCGAAGCACAGCCAAGTTGCTGCGTGTTTCTCACGGCGAAACAGCTCGGTGCTGCTGCAGCCACGAGCAGTGCTAGATGGCCACGGAGCCTGGCTCGCTTGTGCCCCATGCAGGGCTGCAACGAAACCCTATCTCCGAATGTGCGAAGCTGCTTCCCCTCCCAATTGTGCGCCGCAGGGGAGCATCTTGCGATCTGCAGGCCGCCAGCGTCCACGAGCGTCAGCTGGTACGGCACGTCCGGTCAGGCGCAGAAAAGACGGTTTTGGCAGGCAACTCAACGAGCCAAGTCCAGTTCCACATGTGCGCGAAACAGCCGTTCTTGCGATCCAAAGATCTTCTACTAAACAAGTGCGACGGGACGCCACTTCGGCCTAGGTGACTCCAGCACATCCCCGGCGAGCTTTTTTCTGCAGCGACGTCGTTCTGGAATAGTGTGAGACATTTTTCGTGTCGCGGCTGAGACCAAACCCAAAATCATCAAGAACAAAGCATTACTGACTCCTCGCATATTGTTGCTGCTGAGTAACCCCGATTATTGAAGGGCATTTTTGGACCTCTGTGATGTGCTCGAATCAAAGCCCGCTTGCAAAGGTGCGGCTTTGGTTGTGTCCTCGCTGAGGCGTGTAAGTTTGGCCTGGTGAGCGGTTCAATACCGTTTGCGAAGCTTGAGCCTGCAGTTCCTCGCCGTTTGCCAGCGGAAGGCAAGTAACTCCGAGAGGCTACAAGGCACAAAGCTCGGCAACAAGGGCACGAGAAGGCGAAGACAGGGTGAGCTACGATGGGTCACACAGCCTCTCAGTCAGGTCGCCGCAAGGCCAGTCCCACTTCAGGGCTCCTGTCAGGCCGGTCTCGGTCTGACAGTCAAGAGCAGCTGCACAGCTGCACTGCCTGGGCAGCAACGCCGCGCCCGGCAAGCCCTCGAATCGCTCCTGGCTGCTTTTGGATTCCCGGCAAAGCGGCTGCAGCTGGCAGCTAGCAACATCAACATGGAGTGGAGTGGGACATCTACAGCAGCACTTGGACTAAGTCGTCACGCATGCTCAGCGTGGCAAACAGACGCGAGAGTCAATGTCCCGCAGGAATCAAGCTGGCTTCCGCAAGCACCGTAAATGCAATGAGCCTGAGCAAAAGCTCTGCCCAAGGATCCTCCTTCCACTCGGACAGCTGCCGCTCACAGCTCCGTCGCTGCTCAGCGGTCAGGCGGCGTCGATCCTGCGAGTCTCAAGTCATTCAAGTCTGAGGGTTGAAAAAAGCTCGGGTAACTTGCTGTCCCTTCCCTGTTTCCTTTTCCTCCTAAAGCCGCAAAGCTTGTTAGGGAAGAGTTTCTTGTAGTTGCGCTGCTGCCCATCTGAAGCTGCTCTATGACAAGACGTCAATCCAAGTTCGAGGCCAGGGCGAAGGGGCCTTGGGGATCAGGGCAAAGTGAGGTCAGTCTCGAGGCCCTCAGCCAAGCTCAATACGAGTAGGAAGAATTATGCGCAGGATTGCCCTGCGAGCACCTCTTCATCTCCCCGTAGAGCCTGCGCAGTCAGAGGTCGGCTTCAAACAAACTCTGCCGCATCGCATCGTAGTCTAACTAGTGTACCGGAGGATGCTGTAAACCATCGCCTCCAACAAGTCCTCCAGCTCGTCGTAATTCTTCAGCATCAGGGGATGCTGGACACAGGTTCTTAGCCAGTAGCACATTCAGCAACGTTCTGACGAATCGCTGATGTGCCATCAAAGGAGATGCACAGAGCATGAACCAACGGCGAAGACACTCTTATGCATAGGTGAACGCTACATGTCAGCTCGTGTACATATACTTTGCAGGTGCTGACGCACCGCGTTGCATGAACGTGTTAGTGTCCTGGTCGATCGTGCTGTTTGGGATTGGCTTGGACTTTGCCTCTCTGGCTTCGCGTTGCTTACTTGTTCTTTGCCTGCTGTGTCTGTTCGCGTCTATCTTCGCCAACAGTACAGCATGACTCGTGATCTGAACGTGTGTACGTGTACATTCGTCGAACCTCACGCGATGATTTTTTCGAGACAGGCCGTGCGATGATCACGAAAGCAGGTGCTTAACACATGAACCTTGGGAACCACAACAGAAACGGGTCGACAATGACATCATCTGTGTGTGCTGAACAGTGCTGGTCCGTGTCGCATATGGACCTTGCACAGCCCCCTTGGAAAGGCCTACACTCTTCAACGGCAAGCCTAGCTCATAACCCTGGTCTCGAAACTTCGAGAGTTTGTGTCTTGCAATGCCGTGGTCGCTACACAGGCAGTGCTAGAAGACTATGAATCGAAAGCTTTACGCTCCTGCACCTCTGGCTACTAATGCCACCGCTACCCCACTTCTTCCCACTCTCACTACTATTCTCACTCACTCCTCCGCCTGCTCCTCCTCAAGCCGCTCCTATTCCTACCCATGCTGCTTCTGAGAATCTGTTACGACGACGACTACTGCGCGCTATCCTTGCGTTGCTATGCTCGGTGAGTTCCAGTTCTAGATTAATGCTCTCGTCCATACCCAAGCGTGAGAGCCAAAGAGAAGAAGAAGCGGCCGTGACGTTCCTGAAGGAATCTCCACACTAATCGGACCCAGCATCGAGAAGAGCTGAGGCCAGGAGCCATGGTAGTCCTTCGCTGGTCTACTGTCCGAGCAGGATATGGGATGACTCTTGTCTTCATACTGACATAGTACGGCAAATCTCAATCTTTCCGTTCAGAGGCCTAGGCCAGTTGACCCAGAAAGCCTCAGCCGGCGAGAGCCAGGTCTTG